CCAACATCCCTTCCTTTTTTTTTCTTTTTTTCCCCCTTTCTCACTTTCCCGTTCTCCCTTCCTCTCCTTCTCCATTATTTTCTCCTTCTTTTTCATTCTCCCTCTTTCAACGTTTCCCCCCTCCTCTCCTCTTTTCGTCCTTTTTCCCATTCGACCTCGGGAAAACTGTGGAAACCTGTCCGGGACCTGTTCGCGCGCACGGTCAAGGGAAAATTTCGAGTTTACCCCACGAATTTCTTGTTGATCTTTCATCCCGTTCGGGGCCGTACCTGTCGGAGCGGCGGGGGTCGAAGTTATCGGGGATTCAGCCAAGTAAAAAGTTGCTAGATCTAGCGCGATAAATCTAGTTAGCCGATCGCCGACTTGTTCCCTCTCCCCCTCTCCCCCCCCCCCCCCTCTGGCCAGATAAGAATAAAGTTTCACCGGAGCATGCTCTCCTGAAGAGAGAGGGAGGGAGGGGTCGCCATTGATTGAGCGTGTAGAGAAGAAGTTCGATTTAGCCGCGTTCGTGTAATCAGGTGCTTAATGAGCCGAGTGTCGACCTACCTAGGGGTAGGTCTCTCCTCTCCTCCCCCTCCCCCCACTCCTGGTAATGGAGAACCTTATGTCGGTCTGTGTGTCTAAGCCGCAACCCATAAATCACGGATCACCCTTCGCGGCGACAGGGCGAATCGAAAGGTCCGGTAAATATAGCCCTATAGATAGATTTCCTTAAACGAGATATATCCGCTTCCGTGGCTTGGTCGCGCGAATATAGGTCATTTATCGAGAGATTCTAGGAGGAAAATGGCGCGGGAAATATATATCGTTGTTACGCGATGTATACGTTATTATTGAATTTCTTTCTTTCTTTCTTTCTTTCTTTCTTTCTTTTTCGTAATTAAATAAGTGAACGATGGAGATGATGATGATACATTCGCTTCCTTCTCTTCGATATTTCGTTTATATTATATATGTGTACAATATGTGTAGGGAAAAATCAATTTACTGATTATCTGTTTTTTCTTCTTCTTCTTTTTTTTTCTTTTTTTTTTTTTTTTTTTTTTTTTTTTTTTTTT